ACGGGGAATCTTGAAAAAATTAGCAAAATTCTGGGGAACTAAACTGGCTCCTAGTTAACCTGCTTTGAGTAAAAGCCTACATACAACATTAAAGCCGGTTGTGGACTAGAAACAACGAGCTAATGTTGAAAGGATCGAGAAGTCGACAGTGGACTTTATTCTTGCTAAATGGACCCTACAGATCGATCTTGTCCTTTAGCACTCTCTCCGTCCCAGAAGGAATCAATTTCTAGAGAAAAATTTGTCCACGAACAAATCGATTCTTGAGGATGACAGTCCGTCGACCCATTTTATGCTCTCGTATTTCCATCCTATTTACTACTGCATCCCATCTCGTCTCGTATTCCCTTCCTATTTACTACTACATCCCCTCCCATCTTGGGCAACAACTTATTCATCTTCCATGCCAGCAGCTTGTTCATCTTCCATGGCAGCAGCTTGTACATCTCACTACTACACAAAATCTTTTACGCAGCGTTTCCAAAATAGCCTCGGAGGCGGGCGGCCCGATTGCCCGCCTCGGTTATTCGAGGCGGCAGCCGGGTCAGCGACCGCCTTGGTTAATGCTTAACCGATGCGGGCATTGTAACGTAACCGCCTCGGTTAATATCGATTAACCGAGGCGGTTGTCCTAACTCAATCGCCTCGGTAAATATATTAATCGAGGAGGGCATAATATAAGGCCCCCTCCTAAAATATTGGCCCAATATCAGGCTCAAGGTATATATACGAACACTTAGCCAGTTAGGGTTTCTCATTCTCATACCCCTCTCTCTCACGCCCGCCGCTCTCCCTCTCAGACCAGCACGGTGCATGGCGCTCTCCCGCTCTCTCTCTCTCTCTCCCATGTTGCTCTCCCTCTTAGGTCAGCCCGGCTCGGTACTCCCTCTCCCTCTCTCTCCCATGCCGCTCCCTCTCTCTAGGCTCCGCGAGGCCTGCGCTCTCCTGGCGGCGGCTGCCCCGCGCGACCGTCGGCGCTTCCACGCTCGCTTGGTCCGTCGCTGCCCCTGCGGCGGCCCCGCTCGGCGAGACCCGGTGGTGGCGGGGCGTGTTGGATCCGGCGGCGGCGTGGACCCCCAGCGGCGGCGCGTCCTCCAAGAGCGGCGTGGTGGCGATGAGGACCACCGGCGCATCTCCCTCTTCGGCGTGGAGGCGTCGAGGAGGCCAGCAGCGCAACCCCCTTCGGCCCTCGATCCAGCTGTCCCGACGGCGGCCGCGTGTGTAGGCGAGCTCGGTCCCGGCAGCGGCGGCTCCCCAGATCTGGTGCAGGAGCACGGCGTGGGGGACGGGGCCTCCACCCCTGGCCAGATCCGGCGGCGGCTCGGCTGGGGACACCGGATCCACGCGGCGGCGGTGGGGCCGCGCGAAGCAGGCGAGCTCGCCGATGGGCTACGAAATGGGCTCGCTGGTGGGCTCTAGGCTTTTTTTGTTTTTTTTTAATTCATTAACCGTGGCCGGCATTTGCAAGGCGCCCGCCTCGGTTAATCGATTAACTTAGACGGTTGGCCAACCGTCTCTGTTAAGGCTACGATTAATCGTGACCTTTGCACCGAGGTTGTTGGCTTGCCCGCCTCGGTTAAGCCATTTTGTCCGCCTCGGTTAAGTTTTCTGTAATAGTGTCTCTCTTGGCAGCAGCTTGTTCATCTTCAATGGCAGTAGCAAGTTCATCTTCCAACGAAGGGGCTTCATTAGGATCAAGTGGGTCTCCAGCTGTTGGTGGTAAATTCAAGTCTATGGCCATGAGTCATGAGTGGAGTGTTTTTGTTTGGACTAGATGGCAAGATGTTCCAGCTATAGTAGTATTTATAAGCAATCCACGATTGTACTTTGGCGCTAACTGGTTTGTTTGCTTTTTTTTTTTTTTTTTGCCACCATTTGGTGCCTGGGAATTGATTTGGCGCATGCCAAGTGGAGTAGTACTGTTGTTTGGCGCGTACTGTATTGGCGCATACGTGTCTGTTAATATTGTCATTAAATACTGCACTGGATGACTGTAGAAACAGAACAGACATTTACCGCTAAACGTGCAATAGTAGGGAAACTTAGATTAATGAAGGGTAGTATATATGGTCTTTTCTCTCCCGTAGTAACGTGTCCAAAAATTTCTAAGAATTGATTCTTTCAGGACAGAAGTATGTTTCTTCCATCATAAGCTTTCTGGAAGACCCACCGGAATTAGGAGACTTTGGCCCAAGATGATTGGGCTTATTCAAGCCCATCTACTCGTTCTTTCTCCTTACATCTCCCAAAGCCCATGTCCATATTGACCACATCCAAAGATTGGTCTGACATCTTGTATTCCCTATCGTTACTACATCCATCGCAAAGCAAATAAAGAGCTGTATGATTAGATTAGAAAAAAGAGTAGTAATATGTGACGTTACTCTCGCCAAAGTATAATTTGGAATGAAAGGAGTATTAGAGAAAGAAAAAAAAATAGAGCTATATGATCATTTATTCTCACTTGACATAAGCATTGGTTTACCAAGTGATTTTTAAGGGGTTTTTCTATTGATTGAAGTGTCAACGTTTGTATGCAAACTCTTCGAAAGAACGATCTCATTCACATGATTCTGGGAAGGGCGACACCTGATTCTCTTGATGTTTTTCTATAAATTGCAGCAGTAATCTTCGTATATTTCCCATTTGCTACTCTTGTAATGTCGCAGTTGCCAATTTTTAGTGCGGGGAGATTGGATTCGAACTACCTTAACTACCACATTACCACCTATATATATACAACATCTGACGTGCGACAATTTTCATTGCAGATCAAATACAAGAAACCTAACCAATTCTGCAGTAAAAAAACTAGACGAGGAAACCTAGCCATTTTCTGCTGCAATGGCGTCGAAGCCTACCATCATCGCTGTCGTGGCCATCGTCCTCCTCGGCATCGCCGCCTCCGTCCCCGCCGCAGTCGCCGACGCCGGCTTCGTGGAGAGCACGTGCAAGAGCTCCGACAACCCGAACTGCGTGGCGGTGCTGGGCACAGACCCGCGGAGCGCGAACGCCACCACGGTGGTCGAGCTCGCCAGCATCGGTCTGGACATCGCCCACGCCAACGCCGTGAACAGCAGCAACTACCTCTCCGGTGAGGCCGACAGGCGCTACCGCTCCGACGAAGGCGACGCGCTGGACGAGTGCGTCCGGTAGTACGGCACCGCCCTCGACGCGCTCAAGTCGGCGCGCGACGACTTCGACAACGGCCAGTACGGCGACGCCGAGCAGAACGCCAGCGCCGCCGAGGACGCCGGCGCCCGCTGCGAGCAGGCGTTCACCGACCGCCAGCTCGATTCCCTCGTGTCCGACATCGACAAGAGGATGCATGACTGGACCAGCGTCGCCAGCGACCTCATCGACCTGCTCTATGTTGAAGCCAAAGCCAAACGCGCCGGCCGTCGGCTCTTGCGTGCTTAATTAAGAGGGATGTTTGAGAGATTAGCCAGTTGTTGCATCGCCAATCCGCCGTGCATACATGAGCACGTGACGTGAGTTTACGGCCTTAGTTCCAGTTGGTTAATAAATCAAAGTTTTTAACTCCAAATTTTTTTTTAGTGTTGTTCATGTGATCTAATTATAAGTTTTCTACACTGAAGATTTCTTGAGACGGTAATAATCGATTGTGAGAGATGGTTTTTAAACCCACCATAGAGCAACTTCAAGAGTTTCTTTATATCTTTCTACATTAAGAGTGATATTTTTGATGAAAAGTACCCTTCAACTACTTATTATTAATTGGACTTTCAAATATAGCTATCCTCAATTTCGGATTTCTTGCTAGACAAAAATATTCATTTCCCAACAACTTTTCTATATCATATACATACTCTAGAGAGTCAACCTTGCTCTCCATGCTCGGCTCAAGTGGAGAAGCGAAGGGAGACGCGGGCTTAAGTGGAGAATGTTAGCTTTGATTCAAAGCATGGTGGGAATAAGTTGTCCCAAATAGGGTCAAAAATTAGAGAAGCTTCTGTCAGCATGCTTTTCGGCTTTTAGTTCGCAGCCAACCCGATACCCTCAGAAACCATTTTTCTAGCTTTTCAATTCATTTCCTCCTAAACCAAGTTTCTAGCTGTGGACAGCCTTTTATTCATTTCCTCAAACCAGTTTTCTAGCTTTTCAAATCATGTCCTCACAAACCAAGTTTCTACTATTCTAACAGTTGGTTTGTTTATTTCAGCTCCAGCAAAAAGCTAAAACAAAAGCCTAATGTGGGCAACTCAACAGTTACTCTTTATTTCAGTTTTTATCTAACTTCTAACAACTGGCTGTTTGTTTCAGCTTCAGCAAAAAGCTAAAACAAAAGCCTAATGTGGGACTCAATAATTAGACTCTTTATTTCAGTTTTTAGCTAACTTCTAACAACTAGGCTGTTTGTTTCAGCTTTCAGCAAAAAGCTAAAACAAAAGCCTAATGCTTTGATAAGCATGAACCGGTTGTACTATTTTTTTTCCTTTCCAATATTTCTTTATGAGGTATAATATCTTAATCAAAAATATTTTTCACTAGGCAAGTTCTGTGATCATTATAAAACAGCTCAATACTTTTTAGCGCAAGTTCTGTGATCATTATATTCAAATCAGGCCTTGCTTTTCTAGGCCCATGCCAAGCCGTGCCAGCCTATTTAGGCTTCTACAGACAGACGATACGAGATTTCCTGACGACAGTAAACCTGAAGCATCCCCACAAATAGCATAACATATAAAACCACAAGAATCTAATATTTATGTTTGCAGAGACTATGTTTGCAGAGGAAACGTATGAATCTATGACGGAAGGGGAACAGACATAAACAAAAGCAACGTGCAGTCAAATAAGAAATAAACTGAATGGTGCACCCTTGAACGAGGTAAATTGGTATTTCTCCAAAAATTCAAGATCCACAAATCCAACACTGACAGGTCTAATAGCTTAGGTTCCAAAATTACATAGAATAACATGCTCTGCTACTGATAAAGATGCTTTGGTAGTTCATCTCGACGTTGTCATGTGTCCAATCAAACCTCCTGGACACTCAAACCTGCAACAACGGACATTGAGTAGTCAAAAAAGCAGAACTTCATAGTGGATTCGTGCATTAAATGTGAGACTTTATTTGAAAGATCAAAATGGACAGGGTTTGCAACAATTGAAAGGAAATCAGTAGTCACAAAACAGATGACCAAAGATACAAGCAAATTTAGGACTATACATCAATAAGAGACAGATAATCTTGTCCCTCAGATCTCATAGCTATTACCCATCATCGATGAACTTAGAATCGACTGGTTTTAACCACAAGCCTATATGCCAATGAATAAAGACAACAAAGGCTTGAAGCTAAAACTAATCAATCATTCATCTATGGTCAAATAATATAATCTCCAATGGGACACAGCCTCATCAAATAGAAAACAAAAACAAAAACAAAAGAACTTAGTTCAGAGTGAAAGCTGATAAAGGAAATGATCATACAAGTCCCTCGGATCTCATAGCTATTATTGGCCATCATGGATGGTTCTCAAAATTGGTTTTAGCCACAAGCCACCCGCTAATCCAGAAGACATGTCAGATGGCTTGAAGCTAAAACCAGTCTTCAACCATCTTTGGACCGAAATTTTATCTTCACTGGGACAGCTAATTGACGGATACTTAAAACAAAGAAAATGGCATTAATCCAACAAAAATAGATAACCAAATAGACCAGCAGTATGGGTAATTCAAGGCCATATTACTACCACAATGGAGTTTTCGTATACCAAAACAGAAACAATATCATGTCAATTAAAGCTGTGCTAACCTGGGGGAAGAGATTGCTTCAACTTGTTTGCCTTCTCAGCATCAAAGACGCAGAGGGTGTACAAGTACTTGGAGCAGCGCACCTTGAACTTGACAACATCCTTGCTCCTCTTGATCTTCACTGAACGGGCATCCTTCCTCCTCGCGGTGAGAAGGAAGTCCTTGATCTCGTGGATCTGCTTCGGCTGCAGATTTATTTCATAAACGATTAGACAAAGCAAAGTGATAGGTTGACACTTGACAATGAGCTACAAAATACTAACAGGATGGCAAAAAGGAAAAACCCACTGCCACTACTAAGGAAACAAACACCCACACACACACATACTACACTAACTTACAATGGCTGTTTATATACAAATGGATCCTCAATGTTGGGTCTTTTTTTTTACAATTTAGCCTGTTAATCTATCAGTACATTTCGAATTTTTATAACTACGAGCACAGCACAATGCCAAACGTACACTGTGCAAATATAAAGAGCCGAATGGCACCAGAATTAATGTAGTCAGCACAATCATAGCATACAAGTGATGAACTGGCATAACCACGGTGACACCAAAATACAGTAATTGACATTATAAGCTTTCCATGCTCGCAGCAATTCAGCCTAGCATACAGCTAATACAAAGCCACAACAACTTTCACAGAGATTGTACAAAACCAGAGCACAAGTAACATTGCTTGGGTCCGTCAATAAACAGGGATGTCAGCAACAAAAGGACCTAATCTGACCACTCTCTTGCACAATAATAATCCACTAAAAGGTCACAGCAAGAATGCGGTCCAGAAAACTTTCATCGCCTATATAACCGGACAAGCAACTTGCTACCCAGCCACAACTCATGACGCGGTTAAAGAACATGGATGAGACGAGCTGATGGGCTAGTGCCGTAAACAGGAGCGAGGAGAAGGGGAGGGGAAGGGACTCGAGGGATAGTTACCATCTTCTCGCGAGACCTGGGAGTCGCTGAGCTGTTCGTCTCGCGGCGGCGGCTGGGATCCCACGGGAGGAAGGAAATGCGGAGATGGCGGCGGAGCGGGAGGGGAGAGGATTATATAGGGCTCTCAGGTAAAACCCTAAACAGGGAGCGATTCCGAAAACGCCCACGTCCTCGCTCGCTGCAGGTGGGGCCTGTAGGTCGACGGCTACCTCCCACGGTGGAAGGCCGCATCGCGATGGGCCCAATTGGGCCGATTGGGCCATGTGGTCGTTGAATGTGTCCCATTTTTTGTTTTTGGGCTCAGTTTCGTTCACACCAATTATTAAAAATTTTAGAAGTTTCAATTAGATTTCATTTCATGGATTGAAATATCGGTAATGCTCCACCACGGGCATCCGTTCGGACTTCAGACGCTCCTAGCTAGACATACGGACCGGCCCACATGCCTGCTCTCCTCACCATGGCATACGTGGTTTATTAAAAATAGAGCGATATTTTTCCCATTCGCATCCGCCACGGTGTTTCCCACCCTTGCACCACAACCACCCCGGATCCTACTCTTGCTTCGCTGCGCTGCCCTGCTGCTCCTGCTCTTGTTCCGCGCGCCCGCCTCGCTGCTCCCGTCGCTGCTCCTTACTCCACGTGCCCGCCCTATTGCTCCTTCTCCTGCTCGCGCTGCCTCACGCTCTCCTCCGCTCCTGCCGCCACTGGCCGATGATGACGCCAACAGCGCCGCCCGAGGTAAGGAGAAGCGTCGCTGGCCTGGTGCTGAAGCCCTCGCCTCGCTCCTCATCTTTCTGCTGTGTGCCGTGATGCAGATGATGAGGAGGCTGCACCGGGATACGATGCATGTTGCAAGTATACAATTCAACTGTTTTCAGATGTTTATAAGTATGTTGCAAGTGTTTCATACGGATATTGTAAAAGTATATCATGATGTTGCATATATTGCAATGGTTCTACACGTATGTTGCAAGCGCATGTCCCCAATGTTCATCTGTTTTTTCAAACGTATGTTGTAAGTGTGTTTATTTGGATGTTGCATATGTTGCACACCTATGTTGCAAGTGTTTTATCTAGATGTTATGTATGTTTGCAATGGCTTTTTAAGTGTTTTCAAGTGTTTTTTCGTAAGTATTTCAGATGCATGTTTTAAGTGTTTCATCTGTCTTCTTTTGTATTTTGTAAGTGTTGCATCTGGGTGTTTCAAAAGTAGATCGGGATATTGGATAATTACAATGGTGTTTTAAGTTTATGTCACAAATATTTCATCTGTTTTAGATGTATATGTTGCAAACATTTCATCTAGATGTTGTAAAGTAGATCTAGTGTTGCACATGTTATAGTGGGGCCCCCGTGCATGCGTGTGGGAGCCACAAGCGGCAGGCACGAGAAATGAAGTGGGCGCAGATCAAGACACAGCCCCCCATGGGCGCATGCACAGGAAACGGAGTGGCACGGTTCCCCACATGAAGCAGACGCAGGCGTGCGGGCGGGCACAGCTGAAAGCCCTAGTTTGATTTTGGATAATTGATGAAACATATGCACTAACCTTTATCATGAGTTGTGATATGAGCTAGGTTGGTGCAACCCAAGTGTGAAGCATGGTGGCACTCAAGAGATGGTGATGACCACATCAAATGATGAGATGGCCACATGTGATGATGTTCAAGTGTTCAACTTGGAAAAGAAGAAAGAGAAAAATAAAACCCTATGGAGATCAAGGCAAAGGTATAAATAGGGGTTTTATTTCGGTGATCAAGACACTATAGAGAGTGTGATCACGTTTAGAGTAGATGGTCGTACTATTAAGAGGGGTTCTTAACTAGACAATTCGGTCATCTAGTGCCACTAGGTGTTGGACTTCATGCATTGCATTTAGGCCTAGTGCACATCGGAGAGCAAGCGAAAATATTTATTGAAGATGTTTTGAGAAATGCTAACTTGGCTCTAACATGTTTTGGGAAAACACTTTGAGGTTTAGCAACGCTTGCAAAGAAGTGTTAGACTGCTTGTGGATCGAATCGAGAATCGAAAATGCAACTAACAGAAGTTTTTGCCTAGGGGTGGTCATCGCCATGGGTACGGCAGTGCACCGCGCTGGCCCGTCTGGTGACCGGTGGCCGAGGCCAAGAGACGCTGGTGCTAGGGCTGGCACCGCACTATGTCCGGTGGCACCGCCACCCCTAGGGCGGTGCCCACCTGAACGTGGCCAAGAGCAGCAAGTTAAAGGACGGGCACCGGTGTGTCCGGTGTACACCGCCAGGTGCACAGCGGTGCACCACCACGGACACCGTCGCCCTTGTTCGGTGCCACCGCCCTAATTCTCCCAAGAGCAGCGCTAGCCGAGGGGGCCACCGCCATGGTCACCGCCATGGGTGTGCGGTGCACCACCCTAATTATCTAGAGAGGAGGGAAAATGGGGGCTCGGCCAGGGTGGCACCGCCACCCCCTGTTGAAAAGCTCTAGTTTGGTTTTAGTGAATTGATGAAACCCTAAGTGCTAACCTAGTTTATCAAAAGTGATTATGAGATAAGTAGCACTAGTCCAAGTGGTGGAGCAAATGAAGATCATGACATGATGATGGTGATGCCATGATAATGATCAAGTGCTTGGACTTGAAAAGAAGAAAGAGAAAAACAAAAGGCTCAAGGCAAATGTATAAATGGTAGGAGCCATTTTGTTTCGGTGATCAAGACACTTAGCAAGTGTGATCATATTTAGGTTTGATAGTCGTACTATTAAGAGAGATGAAACTCGTATCGAAATGAGGTTATCAAAGTGCCACTAGATGCTCTAACTAATTGCATATGCATTTAGGATCTAGTGGACTGCTAACACCCTTGAAAAATGTTTGTGAAAATATGCTAACACACATGTGCACAAGGTGATACACTTGGTAGTTGGCACATTTGAGCAAGGGTAAGAAGCTTCACTGGCGGAGTGTCCGCCCGTAGAGTGCGGACAGTCCGACGGTGCCACGGGCGCATTGTATAGAAAAGACAGGGTTTCATAGAGCATAACGGACGTGTCCGGTGGCTTAACCCAGGTGAACGGAGGTCACTGTAAGTGACCGGATGCTAGTCTCGATAGGACCGACGCGTCCGGTCAGTGGCAGCAGTGAGTGTGCTTTCGGTCTCATGACCGGACGCTGGCGCGAGAAATGACCAGACGCTCAGGGCCTGAGTCCGATCAGTATGACATATGATGACATATGCAGCGCACAGGGGAGACGTTGAGTGACCGGATGCTGGGTGAGTCCGGTCGGGCATGACCGGACGTGTCTGGTCGTGATTTTTTGCTTCTGGTACCTTACTGGAAACGACCAGACGCTGGTGTTGGTGCGTCCAGTCACTTTGAGCTGCGCGTCCGGTCACTACTTAAATGTACTGATGATCGTTGAGATTGGGCGATCAGCGTTTGAAGCCGATGACACGTGGCAAGCATCGGGCGACCGGACGATGGGGTCCTGCGTCCGGTCGATATGACCGAAGCGTCCGGTCACCCCAAGCAGTGCCCAGTGAAGGGGTACAACGGCTCTATTTCGTGGGGGCTTCTATTTAAGCCCCATGGCCGGCTCTAGCTCACACTCTTGGCCATTTGCATTGACATAGCAACCTTGTGAGCTTAGCCAAAGTCCTCCCACTCATCTCCATCATAGATTCAATATCTTTGTGAGATTGGGAGTGAATCTAAGTGCATTGCTTGAGTGTTTGCATCTAGAGGCACTTGGTGTTCGTATTTTGCTGCGGGATTCGCTTGTTACTCTTGGTGGTTGTCGCCACCTAGACGGCTTGGAGCATCGAGGATCATCGAACGGAGGTTGGTAATTGTCTCTGGCTGAAAGCTCTAGTTTGGTTTTGGTTAATTGATGAAACCCTAAGTGCTAACCTAGTTTATCAAAGTGATTATAAGATAGGTAGCACTACTCCAAGTGATGAAGCAATGGCGAAGATCATGACGACCGTGATGGCATGGTGATGATCAAATGCTTAAACTTGGAAAAGAAGAAAGAGAAAAACAAAAGGCTCAAGGCAAAGGTATAAATTATAGGAGCCATTTTGTTTTAGTGATCAAGACACTTAGCGAGTGTGGTCACATTTAGGATTGATAGTCGTACTATTAAGAGGAGTGAAACTCGTATTGAAATGCGGTTGTCAAAGTGCTACTAGATGCTCTAACTCATTGCATATGCATTTAGGATCTAGTGGAGTGCTAACACCCTTGAAAATGTTTGTGAAAATATGCTAACACATGTGCACAAGGTGATACACTTGGTGGTTGGAACATTTGATCAAGGGTGGTGAAGTTTAGGTGCAAGGGTAAGAAACTCCACCGGTGGAGTGTCCGCCCGTAGAGTGTGGACACTCTGATGGTGCCACCGACGCCCCTAGATAGGAAAGACAGAGGTCACTGGGAGTGATCGGACACTGGCCTCGGTCGGACCGGCGCGTCCGGTCAAGTGTAACAGCGAAGACGCTGGCGTCGGTCAATCGACCGGACGCTAGGTCACTTAGTGACCGGACACTGGCAGGGTGCGTCCGGTTAGTGCTGACGTGAGGCTCACAGAGGAGACGTTGTGTGACCGGACGCTGGGTGAGTCCGGTCGGGCATGACCGGACGCGTCCGGTGGTGAAAATTCGCGTTTGGAACCTTACTGGAAACGACTGGACGCTGAGGTCCAGCGTCCGGTCACTTTCTAACTGACGCATCCGGTCATCACTTGACCATTGAAATCGAGCGATCAGCGTTTGAAGCTGATGACACGTGGCGAAGATCTGAGGACCGGACGCTGGGGTCCTGCGTCCGGTGAATATGACTGGAGCGTCCGGTCACCCCGTGTTGTGCCCAGTGAAGGGGTACAACGGCTCTATTTCGTGGGGCTTCTATTTAAGCCCCATGGCCGGCTCAAGCTCACTCTCTTGGCCATTTGCATTGACTTAGCAACCTTGCGAGCTTAGCCAAAGCCCTCCCACTCATCTCCATCATTGATCCATCATCATTGTGAGATTGGGAGAGATTCCAAATGCATTGCTTGAGTGATTGCATCTAAAGGCACTTGGCATTCGTGTTTTGCTGCGGGATTCACTTGTTACTCTCGGTGGTTGTCGCCACCTAGACGGCTTGGAGCAGCGAGGATCGTTGAGCGGAGGTTGGTGATTGTCTCCGGCTCCGATCGTGGTGATTGTGAGGGGTTTAGTGCCTTCCCCGGCGGAGCGCCAAAAGGTAACTCTAGTGGATTGCTCGTGTTATTGAGTTACCTCACTTGTGGGTAGGTTCTTGCGGTGTCCTATTGTGTGGACAAGGTTCGTGCAACACCTCTTAGCCGTCGAACCACCAAGTGTTGGTCAACACAACGGGGACTAGCGTGCCGGCAAGCACGTGAACCTCGGGAGAAAAAATGGTTGTCTCTTACCCTTTGAAATTCTCCCGGTGATTGATTTAGTATTCATATTGTGATTGATTCACTCCTCTACACGACGGTATAATCACCCTACTTACTCATTTATATTCTTGCAAACTAGTTGTGACAAGCTCTTTAGTGTAATTAGAATTGAGAGCTTGCTTTGTTAGTTTAAATTCATCTAGTGGAGCGCTTTAGAGTAGCATATTTGAGAGCTCTTAATGAGTAGTAACATTGCAAGTTGTGTGCCTAGTAATCATTGCAACTAGAATTGTTGGATAGGTGGCTTGCAACCCTTGTCGAGCTAGAACAAGTTTGCATTTCGCTATTTGTCATACTAATCAAATTGCTCTAGTTGTTTTGTAGATTTTTAAATAGGCTATTCACCCCCCTCTAGCCATATTAGGACCTTTCACCGGCTCCGATCGTGGTGATTATGAGGGGTTCTTGACCTTTCCCCGGTGAAAGACCAAAAGGTACTCTAGTGAATTGCTCGTGGCTTGTGTGATCCTAATTTTGTGTTGGTTGTGAGGCACCCTATTAAGGGTTTGGTGTGCGATGCCAATTAGCGCGTGAACCTCCAAGTGAGTGAATCGCCACAACGAGGACTAGCTTGTCGGCAAGCAAGTGAACCTCGGTAAAAAATCATTATGTCATCATTTGATTCCGAGGTGATTGGTCTTCATTGGTATTCATTCTTGTGATTGATTGGTTCACTCCTCGACTCAGTAGTATAACCATCTTACTCACTTTCTTTACATTACCGCAAACTAATTATCAAGTTTTTTAGTGTAGCTAGTTGTGAGAGCTTGTTAGTTTGGTTAGTATGGCTCTTTAGTTAGCTTTTGAGAGTACACTAACTTAGTATAGTGACATAGCCATTGTGTGGTTAGAAACTATAGAAACTAGAATTATGGTAGGTGGCTTGCATTTTTAGTAGGCTAGCGCAATACTTGCTTCGCATCATAATTGTTTAACCGGTTTGCTAAGTGTTGTTGTAGAAATTTTTAATATGCTATTTACCCCATCTAGCCATTAGGACCTTTTACCTGTCCGGTGCCACCGTCACCTGTCCGGTGACCCAATGGCTAGTCAAAATAGTCGTTGAGTCGACCGTTGGAGGGCACCGCCACCCCTTGTCCGGTGGCACACCGACCTATCCGGTGCCCTCTCAGAAAGCAACTCTAAGGGGTAAATGGCTCTATTTGCTTGTGTGGCTATAAATAGAGGAGCCGAGCAACACACTCAACTCACTTGTTCACTTAATTTCATCATCTCGAGTGAGATTGGAGAGCCTCTAGTGTATTGCATTGAGTTGCATCATCTTGTGGCACTAGTTGGGTGATTTGGGCTGGTTGTGAACTTGTTACTCTTGGTGTTTGCCGACACCTATGCGGCCCGATGATTGGAGGATCGTTAAGCAGAGTTGGTGATTGTCTCCGATCTCGATTGGTTGCTTGTGAGGGGTCTTAGTGCCTTCTCCGGCGGAGCGTCAAAGGCAACTCTAGTAAATTGCTCGTGTCATTGAGCTACCTCACTTGTGGGTAGGCTCTTGCGGTGTTCAATTGTGTGGACGAGGTTTGTGCAACACCTCTTAGCTGTCGAACCACCAAGTGTTGGTCGACACAACGGGGACTAGCGTGCCGGCAAGCACGTGAACCTCGGGAGGAAAATCTTGTCTCTTGTGTGATTGGATTTCTCCTGGTGATTGATTGACCTCATATTGTGATTGGTTCATTCCTCTTCACGACGATATAATGACCTACTCACTCCATTACTTTCTTGCAAACTAGTTATAGCAAGTTCTTTTGTGTAACTAGTTTTGAGAGCTTGCTTGGTAGTTTAAGTTCATCTAGTGTAGCTCTTTAATGTAGCCTTGTTGAGAGCTCTTAGTGAGTAGCAACTTAGCCTTGTTGTGTGCCTAGTGATCATAGAACTAGAATTATTGGAATAGATGGTTTGCAACCCTTGTAGAGCTAGAGTAAAATTGCATTACGCCGTTTGTTAAACTAATCAATTGATCTAGTGATTTTGTAGAGTTTTAAATAGGCTATTCACCCACTCTAGCCATATTAGGACCTTTCAACAGCAGCAGGCACGAGCATCCGGATCGGACGTCCGGACGCTAGCAACTCTGGAATATTCGGAATTGTTTGTAGTGGATATAAGCGCTGTTTGGAACCAATTAAAACCGAATTATTGATCTACCTACCGCGAAATCGAAAACAATGTTGCCCTTAGAGCAAGTTCAATAATAGAACCAAGTGTCTGGCTATTAGCCATGTTACAAGAGCCAAGCTATATAATAGTGATATCTTATTTGTTTATAAGAAACTTTTTTATTGTTAGTTTTACCCATTTCTTCACCTTCTCTATCCTAATCCTCTTTACATTCACTTAGTGTATGGACCCACCACTACATATGCATCATGCCTAGCTTGTTGCTTACATAAGAGCCAAGCTCTCCTTTCTCTTATTTCTTCCCTCTTCCACATCAACGTTTCCACATCAGCGTTTGCTTGTTATAAGCCAATTATCGTAACTGCTCTCAAACGCGCAATATCGATGATGCAATTCTTTTTATTGTGAGAACCAACGGGGAGTCTGATTTATTGTATTGCGGCTCTCCCACCGCAGTTCCGTTACGGTTGGGCTTCCGGTTGCCTACCGGTTCCGCTTCCGTACTGCACCGCTTGGCCGGAGAATAAACTGGCCACTTGAAGCTAACAGTAGCACATCCAAGAGCACAACGGCAGAACATGATTGACACATGTCTATACAGCAACCACTACAAACAATTGCCAATCCTATCCACGAGAAAGAATGCAGTAAGGTCCATTTTGCCAGGAAAAACGAACACGCTTCCAAAAATTCCAAACTCAAATGTTAGAGCAACAGTGCCAAATTATTTGTTGGACTATGACATGTCGTATGGGTCCATAAACAGATCGACACAGCCAGACAGGCTGTGCAAAAAAAACGGTGTGTACTCTTTCGCATAAACAACCCGGTACAGCAGGAGCCTATGCAGCAGCAATCAGTAGTCGTCGCCTCTGGATATGACCTCTTTGCAGGTTGGCCGGAGTAAGATGGTGTGCTCAAACTGCGAGACATAGCTCCCTTTCACGTCGCACAATGGAGGATACGGCTGCGAAGTGCGAACAGAGCAGGAGACGGTGAATAACGATGTCCGCAACATGGTTCAGACAATGGAGTTGAGATGGAGCTTTTCACATACCTGAATGATACCACTATCACAAAGATTTTTCAGAGCCAGGAGGTATTTCGTCTCGCCAAGGCGGTCCAAGTACCGGCGGCAAAATGCGAGTGTTCCAAAGTTGTTGTTGATTGTCCCAAGTAGTTGCTTAGCCTTTGCTACCCTCAAAGGCACATGCCCAACGTCAAAGTTCTTCATGTAATGGCTGCATTCCAAGTCCTCCTGGACAAATCCCCTTCCTGAAAATGTCATGAAGCTTACATAATGTAGAAGTCATCGAAGACTTGAACTTATGTCTAGAACTTATGTCTAAATAGGGACACCAAATTTATGCTGCGGAGCCATAAGGACCATTCTAGATATAAGTGAAGTGACTAATCCATTTTTTTTTAAAAAAAAATCATGATGACACATTACAGCACTACGATATTTCCATCAATCAGTTGTAGCTACAAAGACTAACATACCAGTAGACCCAAAAGTTTCAATAGCATAAAACTCCCCCTCTTCCATTTTTGTTTGTTCTCCACCTTTCACAATCGGAACTGATTTTCCACCATGGATCTGATATGGCCCAATGCTATGTCCATTGAGGTTCCGAATACTTTTTACTGTCACAAACAAAAAGGTAGTTTCAATTGTCATTGCCTTTTCTACATTATATTGTTCGGCACAATAGAAAATCAAAAGTTGTATCACCTTGGAAAACTTTCCCATTGATTTCAACCTCATATGATTCCATTACTTCTTGGATTGCAGCACCAACATCACAAAGCCGTGCATCTATTCCAGCTTCCTACAATGAAGTGATCAAGTCATATTAAAGTTCAATGAGTGCATGCTGCAACAGAAGAAACATAATTTGAGACCGCGACATATATAAAGGAGAAATTCAAATTAAACCAAGACATAGAACTATATACAGGAGCAGATAGAGAGAGATGCCAACACACAATAATTATCTAATGGAAATCGTTATCCAAATGAGCACATGATCATGTCATGCTTGAGCAAAGGATATCACTTCTGTACAATCATGCAGAACACTACAGGAAAATGACATGGGCAAAGGTGCTAACTGAAATCATGCACTCTTATACCCCACTCTATAAACTTAGAAGCACAGCCTACAGAGGGTGCAAAGGAACATGTTGAAATTACCTTGATCCCTGTATTTGTGGCATCTCTTGTTGCTTGAAGCAATGGATCATACATTGGATTGAATGCAACAGTAAATGCACAATCAACAATGTACCCTGGAACAAATAAGTTAGTCACATGAAATCTACAGAGGTAGTCATAACAAAAGCTCATACAAGATAAACAAGGCAAAGATTGACAGACCATCTATATGTGTTCCAAAATCCAGCTTCATCACATCATCATACTGTAGCACAGTTTTGTCACCAGAATTCGGAGTCCAGTGAGCTGCGACCCTAAGAATTGGATTTCCTTATTGGTTTGTGAATGGAATGAGGATTTTTTTAAACGAATCAAGCAGGAGAGCTGCTAATTATATTAAAAACAAGAAGAAGCTCAGACTGAGCGATACAACATATCAACAACAAGAATGGAGTGAAGAATTGGAAACATGACAGATGTATATCGTACCAATGGAAATGCTATAGAAGAATAACATACCAATTCAAGGAGCATCCAGTTGGAAAGGCAATGCCAGCTTGCAGTCCATTCTCCTTGATAAGTTTCCTGACCATGTTTTCCAGTGTTTCGCATAGATCAATCATTAACATTCCAGGCTTAATAATGCTCCTCATATGTTTCCGCACCTAGAAAATCAGAACAAACATTGTAGAATTGCAACAACAACACATAGGATTAAGATTATGCTGCAAATTTTTCAGAGACGGGTTCATGCCAAACCTGTCTATGAACTTCTGCTGCTCGGCGAACAGAGTTGTACATTGGCTTTTGCAGTCGTTCGAGCTCCCTCTTTTCCTCACTAGTTGTTCTCCATAAATTACTGAAGATCAATAGTGTACATATTTGTAAGCAGTCAATGGCAGTTCCTAACATCAGCTCAGAATCATCATAGTTAAAGGATGGGGGGAACTAATTTTTTCCCTCGATGCATTTCAGATGTGAAGGTTTTCATATGATAAGAAATCAACATATGCTCACATAGGATAGTTTAATTCTATACAACTTCCACAACTGGTGACAGAGTTCACTTACTCATCCTTATATTGCTGAATTTCACCCTCAGGAAATTCTCCTGAAGGAAAAAGCTCGTCAACAGGTATTGATGGAGGATCTGTCTGCTGAAGAGGACCCTTCTTCTTTCTACAGAAGACATGGAACATCCTCGTGAATTGAAACAGACAAAACAAAACAAAAAATGTATGGTCCAATTCAACAGCAGAACTCACTTGGATTTGTTTTTCTTCTTTTTCTTCTTTGCAGCTTCTGAAGATATCCATTTCAAAGGCAACTGTTAGACTAACCTTACCCCAAATGCTAGATGCAATAAAAGAGTTTCAGCCTTATGTGAGAAATTTGGCAAATAGAACTTGCAAGGCAGAGTTGCCACCTGGTGCTCCATCTTGAGATGGATCATCAGCTTGTGCTTCGTCATCATCCTCCGGTGGTGAAGACTGAGCTGCAGGAACCACACCATTGCTGTTTGCAGTTTTGCTTTCTTTAATCAGATCTGCCTGCAAAAAGAAGGGGATGTCACTATGAAAGCAAATATACAGAAAAGCAAGGGGAATATGTCATATAGGGTTCCTTAATCGATGTAAATAAAGAATTTGTTTAATCATTTTCAATTTCAAATTGAGTTCTGGGGAAGCTACCCATGTTACCTAGTCAAAAGTTTAGTGACCACTATCAGGACAATTCTGGTCATTACTTAAAATGGTGAATTAAGATAAAGCATGATTGCAACAAGGAACGGATGAATAGAGGACCACTGCACTGAACATGAGTATACAAGAACAATAAGCAGTCATCATGACTACAACAGGACCAACTCTGCAAACAAAATACCCCCTCCTGTTCTTTTTTTTTTTTTTTGAAAAATACCCCCTCCTGTTCTCAAATAGATGCCAAAGCAAACCTGCTCTGTGTTGTGTAGAAACAGCATTTGTGATTAATTCCATGGGCTATGGAAAACAAAGAAACCACTGCGGCTACCTACTTTGGTTTCTTCATTTTGTCCCACATGCAACGCCTCCACCTCCTTGGTAGCTGTATCAACCGCGGCCATATTGTATATTTCTAAAGAAGGTTCAAACCTGAATGAGCAGAATAAACAAAACCGTAAGCACCAATATAGCTCAGGACAACTTTTTTCTTTTCTTTTCTTTTTTGATGATTGAAAGAGAAGGGCAGCAAATCTGCCCTTTAATTAAAAAAGCAAGCAAGTAGAATTAGTTCAGTGTACAAGGAGCACTGCAGCTGCTCGCAAGCTGCAAATTGTTAGATACATCATTTAGCTATATGCATATGGGAGGGGAACTAATTGTGTCATGTATGCCCATGTGCACCCAGTAATCAGGTTGACCATTCATCGCAGAATCAAAATCTTCATTGAATTTGTTTTCTTTCATTTAGCAAGCTTTGGCCAGGTCTATGTAGCAAGTTTAAGACAATGCCTTGCAAGCTGGATGCGAGACCGACTAGGATAGAGCTTTAGAAAAAAAAATAAGTGTTATACTTAACAACAAGAGAGCTTGCTGCTTCATCAGAAGCACCCTGCGAATGTTACTATACCCACAACAAAAGTAGTAGTCTACACTCTACAGCCATCAGGTTTGCGTCGGCAGACCATCCTTACAGAAAACTATGGTTGCAGTAATCTGGAGAAATTCCAGAAACCCACAAACTCCCCTGGAACAACTTGGCCGGATGAGAGTCTCGGATCAGCGCTACTACCATCACTGAATTTGGAAACCGTGCGCACAAAACCGAAAATAGCCAGCGGCTGGAACATGAGCCGACAATACCTTCCTCCCGGTTCGAGGCCGCGAGAGCTCCGGCGATCACGGCCCACGGTCCGACGAAGGATGGGGCTGGAGTGGGAGGCTCCGCCGCGTTTCGTGCGAGGCGGCCGGAGGAGGGGAGGCGGCGGCTCGAACGCCTTGACGGCTAGAGTTGGATTTGGACCTGGACGCCGGAGGAGGGGAGGCGGCGGCTCGTACGTTTCCTTTTCCCCACGCGGTGCGGCTACCGTTCTACGACCCAACCGACCGCCGTTACGGAAGGTGGGACCCAGCTGCCAATCTCCGGCCCAACTGGAATTACAAACCCAAGCGCAGGCAGACCAAAGGCCCTGTACGTCCAATAGCCGAACCGGGCCAGATGGGTCGTGCTGGACCCACACTGCATCGGCCCAGCCCACCCAGTGCCCTTAACACCCCAGCAGGCAGCAGCAGCAAAATTCCTCACGATTCAGAAACCCTCGCCTTCCCCTTCCTCCCCGGCCGCCGCCTCTTCCTCTCCTCGCCGCCGCTGCCGGAAGGAGAAAAAAATGGGTGCCGATGGGGAAGAAGCGTCGCGGATAATCGTACCGATGGCGGTGGAGGGGACCCCGGGGCAGCTGGCGTTCGTGGAGGAGTCGAAGCTGAAGAAGCGCAAGGAGAACGTGGACTGGGCCGTCAGGAACCGGGAGCGCAAGGCGGCCAAGCGCGAGCGCATCCGCGACGAGCACAAGGTCATCGTCAAGCGGCCCGAGGATTTCGTCACCGCGTTCCGCAACAAGGAGCGCGACTTCCTGCGGATGAGGACCCGCCTCAAGGTCCGCAAGCAGCCGCCCGTCGAGGCGCTCAGCTCCAAGCTCGTCTTCGCGATTCGCATCCCTGGGTAGGTGGTAGTCCTGGCAGCGGAACAAACTCTCCGCTGTTTTTTTTTCATCAATGGTGTTAACAGCTAGCGTTGTTTGTTTGATGCGTGTGCTTGTAGCTCCGTGGACTTGCATCCGCACATCAGGAAGGTTTTGAGGAAGCTAAGACTGACGAAGGTCCTCACTGGGGTGTTCCTCAAGGCCACCGAGCTGACGCTGAAGAGGCTGCTTGTGGTTGAACCCTTTGTCACCTACGGGTAACTTAACTGAATGAAAGCAACATTTTCCTAGGCTGTGATCGATTATATTGTTTTGTAGTATCGCGTTGTTGATATTCAGCTTTGCTGCTTTGTCACAATAGGTTTCCAAACTTGAAGAGTGTGAAAGAGCTTATCTACAAGAAGGGCCGTGGATTCTTCGACAAGGAGCCTTTCCCTCTTACCAGCAACGATCTAATTGAGAAGGTATGTTTTGGCACCATATATTATAGATTTAAGCAAATTATTATGTACTGTGGCTACCGGTCAGCAAGGAACTTGAGTCACCAGTTTTGAGTTCTAATATTTGTTAGGTTAAGAAGATTGGATTATAGCAAATTGAAGTAACTACCAGGGGTTATTTATCAATAAGGAATTGAATCCCAGTCACCTTTTGAGACTTCTGAGTACTAGTATTTGTTAGGTTGAGAAGATCCAATCAAAACAAATTGAAATAACCACTGCTGCAGGCTATGCGTCAATAAGGAACTAGCATGCCCTCAGTCACCAATTATGGGTACTAAGCTAAGCAGCACGGATACGGATACGTGTATCGGTATCGGACGGATACAGATACGCGGATACGCCATTTTTTGAGGAAACCTGATACATGGATACGTTTTATTATTTTTTATAAAAAATAATAATAAAGGACATTAAAATTATTGGCAGCGTATGTATGGATGCTCTCTGGAGACTACTCCAATCATTTCACAGCTTCTAGTTGCTACTTCTACCTGTGCTGGCAGTCGGAGGGGTATTTTTGGCATATAAATGTACAGCACGTCTTCCCTGCCTGTGCTTAGCTGGGCCCAAGATTAGATTTTTTAATCTTCTTTCTCTCCCCCAACATTCTTCCCCACACGGTGCCCCTTCATTCAGCCGGCTGCGCGACTGCGCTCCTGCTGGCCTGCTCCTCACAGCTCCTCCTCCACCGGCGCCATGCCTTCCTCCTCCCACACCGGTGACCGAGGTCCCTCTGGGCGCAGGCGGCCGAGCGACCATGGCTGCGCCCCACTCCACCCCAAGCGCGTGGCCAGTGGGCGGCCCGCCCGGCGTGGATGCAGCACGCGGACCTCGCCAGCGCAGAACTCGCCCAGCGCGGGGTGCGGCACGGCGCGTGGTCGGTGGGCAGCCTGCCCGGCGCAGATGCAGCACGGACCTCGCCAGCGTGGGTGCGGCGTGGCGCGTGGCTGGCGGTAGCCCACCCAGTGCGTGTGGGATAGGCCATAGTATATCGCAGGTCAGTGGTGGGTGGGCTAGGCCGTATCGCAAACGCCCAAACAGCTTGGATACGTATCAGTCCACGTATCGGAATTTAGTTTTATTTATTTTTTTGCCGATACTTCACGGATACGTATCCGCCGCGTATCCACTGCGTATCCGTATCGGATACGTATCCGATACGGGATACGTGGCCAACCTCACGTATCCGTGTAACGTAGGTACTAAGAAGATCCGGTAATAGCTAATAACAACACTTCAATTTGGATGATCAGTTCATTTTTCAGATCATTTATCGCCAACATATTTTTTGTGAATCCAGTGATCACTGAAAAGCAAACTATTCACGATTAAGCATTCTCATCGTACACTATATTTTTTCGCTGCGGAGTGAAAACAGAGAGGTGGTTAAAATGGCTTCTGGAGATTTTAGATTCGGTTTTTACTTGTGAATTACATTGAAAGTCTCCTTGTGTACCTTTGCTTAAAACAGGCTCTTGGAGATCATGGCATCATATGCTTGGAAGACGTTGTGCACGAAATCGCCACTGTTGGGCCGCACTTTCGTGAAGCATCGAAGTTCCTCATGCCCTTAAAACTCAAGTGTCCAGAGAGGAGGCTACAGATGAAGAGGAAACCCTACAAGGATGGTGGTGACTCAGGCAACCGTGGCGACAAAATCAACGAACTAATTGAGAAGTTGAACTAAAGCAGACCTTGCCTCCCGTTGTCATTTTGCGTTGGAGTGATGGATCTGTTACCTTGTCAGTTTTGTAATAGCATAGCTGGATGTACCTTTAACTTTGAAACCTTACCTGCTTTTGTGCGATCAGATCATGAAATAGCAGAAGCTTCTTTGGTCATCCCCTGCCTTCTGCTCGGCATTGTGCCTTTGGTTGATGCGACGATATCAACTCTGTTTATGCTGTAGTGTGCTATTGATTGTTGAATTGAGTATATATCCTGATCCCTTTGCTGTTCAAAAGACAATAATGGACCTTATGCACAAATAGTGTCCGACCTAGCTGGGTGGCACAATGAGCCATGGAGCACCCTATGATTTGGTTGAATGTCAGAGCTACAGTAGTTATACTGCTTAACTTCAAGAAGATTGTGTATGGATCACCCAAGGATTTAACCCATTACATCAAGTTGGGCCATCCTTGATCCAATTCCTAAATTCGTCACTGCAATTAGATGGCCTTGCAATTCAATGATGCCCACACAGTCATTTGCCTAGAGATTCATGCTTGATTACATGGTGAAGGGTGATCGTAGGTTATTGGCAAAGTAGAAGGTAAAGCTTTCAGCGAAATTGTCTTGCTTGTTTGTACTATTGAGAAGATAAATTGTATCACAGGCTAGTTGGCACTGCTAAGTTTAAACTTTTGGATTTCAAAATAAAATAAATAATAATGGTTTCTCTTTTGTAAATTTAACTCAGGCTCCCTTTGGAACAAAGAAAAATGGAAGAATGTTAGGTCCCATTTTGGAACACGGAAATGTGAAAACATAGCAATTTCGTAGGAATGCAGTTGCAAAATAGAGAATTAGAAAATATTATAATATTAAAGGAATGTTTGTTTGGATAGGCCGTTGGAAAAAAAGTAGGAATCCAGGGCGGTTTGGAACGCAAGAATTTCGCAATCCAACTTCCTATCGCTTAAAATTTTACCCTTATTTCACCGTAGTCGTTCATGCATTTCCACAATCCTGGGTTCCAAAAAGCCCTTAAAATTTTGTTCAGAATTTAAAATATGCAACATGAGACAGAGAGCTTTTTATTGTGCAAAAAGGGTAACTGGCGGAAGAGTTTTCTTTAGCAGTGGATACCAACAACGTACCACCTTTTTCAGTAATTATTTATTAAATTAACTATTATAGATTTTTTTTCATATGTACATGATGTCAGGAATTATGAAAGGTTTGAAAAAAAAAAGAGAACTGAGTCGACGGTCATACCAGCTACAGATCAGGATCAAATAAAAACTTTCCAGTACCACCATTTTTTCGACCCAGTCTTAGGGTTCTCAATCACCATATATCACATTTTTTTACTCCTGAGAAATGTCAGAATGCTATTAAAAAAATGGGAGAATGAAAGTTTACACCAAACAACAATTGATTTCCCAAAGAAATGTCAGAACATTGCTGTACTGCAAACAAAAAATATTCTTATTTGGCACATGCAATTTTTTAACGGGAAACTCAACTCACGTGCGACCATATATTCCTCACCCCAGCATTACACTAGTCAAACAATGGCTCAGTATAGTGTACACTGTACAGTGTTTTTGTTTTCATTGTTTTCCGTGGTCAGAGGACACAACCTAAAGCCCTACATTTCCTTTTCGTGGAAAGAATATACGAACCAAATGGATTTCCATCAGTGTTCGTGTCGTACAATAGAGTTAGCATATCAAATAACTGCACACCATTGTTACCAACAGAACCAGGGACATGTGCCAGTGGAATTTCGATCCAGAGGACAAGTCATGTGAATTGACAGTAGATGTTGTGCCCGTTTTATCGTCCTTAATTTTAATGCTCGACGAACCTGAAATTACAAGCAGATGACCAGATAGTTGTGAAAATATGGGGCAACCCATGACTGGTATTTATGATTCAGAACAGTGCAATGCTTGCAATGCTTGTACTAACCAACCATGGGTTTTCATTTTTCCCTCTGAAAGTGTCTTTCACCAAAAACAAAAAGGAAGTAAATGTGGATGAACTTTTATCCCAAACTACATATGTAATGGTAATTGACGGTTAACAAGAATATAAATTATTGTATGCTAAGCTCATGGCTCCCAGTTTCATGTAAAATATTTTGGAACTAGTCACTGGAAATAAAACAGCAAACTATGACCAGGGGCGGAGCTTTGTGTATACTAAAGTGAACGAAGACTTAATTCCACCACTTAAATGCTGATGAATCGCTAATCTAGCCCGCTCTATTAATACCTCAAGTTTGATTGGTCCCCTCTCAATTTAGTTCAAGCTCCGCCACTGACTATGACTGCAATGTATTATGAAATGAACTAAGGATGAGCAGATTAGAACGTGCTAACACTTACAGTTATAGTCAGTCCACCCAATGACTCGATTTTCCAAGTCATAGACAACCAACTTGTTTGAAAGGACAAGATCTGAAAGAAAACAGACGTAGTGTCAAAAACACAGCGTTAAGAACAAAAACGATTTGCTAGTGCAGTGCTGACCTCCCATAAGCACAATGTCCTTTCCGTCCTTTGACTGTAATGCACCATTTTGGAATCCCACACAGTATACGTCATTCTGCTCAGGGAACAAAAAATGTAGACCATAAAAGTCATGATCACGTACTTTTTATGCACTCAGAAATGGAACTTGCATGCTCTGCTATTTCAAACAGTTGTTGTGCTAGAGTCCAAATATCAAAAATGGACTTTGATTAAAAATTTACTGAAATAACTCTTAGTTATGCCTATATATTAATACTGTAGAACGTGAAGCATAGAGCTTTACTGCTTTACTGTACAGGAGTTTCAATGTCATGTATCTACAAAGGTTACTTAAAAAAATTACTCCCGAAAAGAAAAGAGTTTCCAGCTACAAACATATAATAAAGAGAATGTATACATATACAGAAGTGGTAGGCTATTTCTCTTTATAAGAAAAATAATGGTGCAGTCTGAAAAGGCGATGAGAACTATCAGAAATGTCAAAGGCACACAAGGCATGTACATGTCATTCATGTTGGCAATATGAATGTGTGCGATTTTTCTTTAACCTCTCTACAGTGTGGATGAACTTTGACATGTAATGTAATCTTCAAGCGCACATAAATCTAGATGTGTTGTAAATGTAGTTGGGGTTTGCTTCGGTAGTACTCATGTTTACTAAGTTTGAAGCAAATTAAGTACTAATGGGTGATGACCGTGGTCAATCGTGTAATACCAGTGTTTGGGAAGTTGCCACCATACCATTAGTGAAATTGCACTTTTGCCAACATTCCATCAAGTGTATGACATGCGGGACAAGGCTACCAACTATCATTGGCATAGTCACATAGATTGATAGATCAATGGCATTTTGGCAACGTAGGTTTGACTGGGTGTTCTGGCAATTTTCCTTAGTATACTTTGACACCTTTCACCGCGTTCGGCTGGTATAGTTCCAGCTTGTTTCAGCTTGTTTCAGCTTATTCTCTCTCACAGAATACTATTCAATCATCCAAAACCATCCCAAAAACACTGTGGTGTGGACCATCCGAGCGAGCTCTTTATCCAAAAGAATATCTCTCTCGAGTTCAGCAAAATTATTTCACATCAAGGGCAAACAGACAATATTAAAAGACAGATGAAAAGAAAACCCGCCTGGAGGCTTGATATGGAGTGATTGAGAAATTTTTGGAGAACCAAAATCCTAACAAATAAACAATGTAACTGGAAAAGACAGCATAAGGTAGATGCATCAGACATTCATATATACTAGTTTAGTTATTGTTTTTCACATTGATTACCAATGGCACACATGATATTACAAATTACAAAAGTGTTTTATTTTAACCATTATCATGTAGTTTATGCAAAAGGGGAGAAAGAAAGACGAGAGCACTGAAACCACTTTTAAGTGCTATAAGCTGGAACCATGATGAACCCATGGCAATGGGTGAATTAAGCGTTACTCTACTAGGAGAGAAATGTCATGTTACCCCATTTGGGAAAAAGTACTCATGGGGATACACATGCAGCGCAAGATCATCCTCAAAATGGAAGGTGATGGTTGGGAATCCATCATCTACACTGCAAGAGAAATGAACACAAAAATTAGAATCATAATCATAGCAAGAGAATATAATCTATGGGCTGGTGATTCATCTTTGTGCCAATTCAAATGAAAACAGAACAAGTGTGAAGAATCGAAGAGATGAGGATGTTAATTCATGAAAGAAGTATGAGAGGGCATTATCGATACCAAGATTTCAATAAATATATTTCAGCATGTATGAAATGCAGCATGGAAGGAATTGCAGGTAATAATTAGTACTCTTCCAACTGCAGCTATATTGTGTAAACTACTAAAACATACCTTCCAGGATATTGGAAACACAAAAAATCTTGAACATCATGGAAGGTTATATCCTGATGCTTATTAAATACCTACAATTGATTGAGAAACCTAATATGTAAAGAAAAGGCATATGGTCAAACATCACAAGGGAATAATTAGCACGGGATCTTTGTCATACCGCGAGCATTACTTTTTTGAAAACCAATTCTGGAAGGTATGTCAAGGTGGTACCACTGTCGATTATGGTACCCTTTTTATCATCTGGTTTAAAAATATCTGTCGGGAGTTCTAGTGTAGTGCCACCAACATCGATTGTCTTAAGGTTCACATTGTAGTGTGGCCTGGAAAGTAAAATCATGACAGGTTATGAGTATGGTATAAATGAAGTAAAACAGCCAGCTACAATATCTTAAGTAGAACTAAAACTATGTGCCAAGAAACTGTGCGTTCATATAAAGTTTGTAATAATGCCATTGATACGGGACTTTTTACCGACTCAAAACTCACAAAAACAATTGTATGTTCGAAGAGGCCATGGGAAAAAAGAACAGGAAGGGTCACTAGCACTAGCATCTAGCACAACAGCATTGGTGAAACATCTGTTTGTAGCATAGCACAAATGCCAGTGACAGAACATTTGTCCAAAGACCAAATATTTTAATACCTATATTTATTTTCTTCACACATGCTATTTATCATATTTTATTCCATACTTCATAAGTGTCCAGTTCTCATATAATTTTTTTCCTTGTTAGTTGGATACTAAGCAACGTGCCTAAGCAATGTTTGTCACTTCACATGTCAAAATTAGCTCAGCAGTCAGCACCCCACCTCAAGCTCTTGGACACCAGTTGGTCAACATTTTTAATCATAAAAGCAAGCAGCGGTGCACGCTATCTTGTAAGGCTTCTGGTAAACTAGTAACACGCCAGTTGTCCACCATTTCATAGAGCAAGTACAGCAACAACAGGTTTTTAGAGCTGGGAGTGGGACGGATATTTTTTCCCCATTTTGCTTGAGTTTTCACATTGCAATAATAGTGAACTATAAAAATGGAGACTTAAGGATTAATCAAAGTCAACAGCTATGAACAATTCAAAAGCGTTATATGACTAGTGGACTATAAAAATGGTGGTTCGTGAAATGCATCATTGGCATCAATCAGATTATGAAATATTCTATAAAGTGGCATGGAAGTTCCCTATTAAATCCAACTAGAGCTTTTATTTATGGAATGACCATTGTTCATTTTGTATTATATCATGGCAGGAGCGACGATGCTATCCTACTAAAAAAAACAAACATTACACATGGTGCAAATATTGTATGATCACATCTTTTTGGCCCTTAACACAGAACTATGATACGGATTTTATCTCTCTTCCCGAAGCAAGTTCTAGAAACCAAAACAAAATTTACTTAAAATTATCAACGATAGGACAGTTCCTGAGAGAGTGTAATGCAACCAAAATGATAATTAGTATGGCAAGGTTAACATACATACTTGTCGGCTACCAATGGTGTTGTTTTTACTTTTGGCTGCACCACATCTCCAATAGCAAAAATTCCACCTCCTTTTACAGTATCCAAGCAATGAGCAAATATCTTCTTCACTTTACCAGCAGTAGCTAGTTGTGATAGCATTGATGTATTTGCCTCACCAAAACCAAGAATTCCATCAAGGGCTTGACTTGAACTTCCCAAATCCCCACCTTGTTGAGCGCCACACCTACAAAGGAAAGAAGAATCATCTATCCCCAATTAAGACATCAGCACTATCAACAAATGTTAATTAGATGATGCTTGTTTCCTACTCAGTTTTTGTATTGCAATATTCTAGATAAAGATCATGGGATGCATATAGCAAATCCCACAGCAGGGTTGATGCTTTCCATGATACTTATCTTTTCAATGAAATAATAGCACAAGAACATGTAGCCAGGATAAAGGGCCAAGAATACAACTTCATTACCTCACAGTGGGACAAAAAAATTTGAAGCTTATGCTAAACAAGGATATTTAAGTATCTTTGGGGCGATGGCCAAGTATCATGCTAATCTTTTCAGGCAGCATAATAGCCTCTTGCCCTATTGAATGAATGCTAAAGAAGGATTTGAGGCAATGGCCAAGGATCATGCTAATCTTTTCAGGCAGAATAATAGCTTATCGAATGAGTGGTATCCTACGAAAAACGGTTGCAATGTCATAAACTGAAACGACCGTACTCACCCAAAAATGACGCTGGCATTGGCAGGCTGTGTCTGCCCATCCCCAGTCACCTGATCAAACTGCAGTGCATCGTTGACGAAGGAACCTACCGTCGAGCTACCATCACCGTACGTGACACTATATTCACAGGGCACATTGGCGCTGCACTTTGGCAGCCTTCCCCCAAAGGTGGCTGCACAGAATCCCTGATCGCACATCACCGTGCTCCCGGTCGAGGACGCCTTGGGGTCGTAGAGCGTCAAGTCTAACTGCACAGAGACGCACACACCGCATTCACATCAAAATATGGACACAACTGGATTAATCTGCAGTCCAGACACACAAACAAAAAAAAGGAAAGTGGGAAATGGTACCCCGAGTCCGCTCTTGCGGGGGCATTGCTCGCAGGTGATGCAGTTGACCCAGAGGATGTCGCTGCCGGTGTCGACCTGGACGTAATAGCGCTTGGGCGGCGTCCCGAGCTTGACCTCCGTGTAGTAGAGGCTGCGCGCGCCCGGACCGGCCCAAAAATCAACCACATTCAAATTCAAATCAAGCACCCACCGGGAAATCCTTCCAAAATAAACAAGCCAGTGAGCGCGGGAACGTACCCAGTGTCGGTGGGGAGGCCGAGGCCGCCAAGAGGGAGGTCGGCGGCCGCGAGGAGGCGGCCGTGGCGGGTGCCGTCGTGGGCGCGAAGGGCGCTGATGTTGGCGCCAGCAGCACCCCCTCCCACACCCACGGGAAACTTGCGGCGCACCTGGAAGACGCCGGTAGCCGTGGCGCCGGGGAAGGCGGACCCGGCCAACGCCAGCAGCAGCAGCAGCCCAGCGAGGAGGAGCGCAGCACGCCGAGGCGGAGGCGGAGGCGGAGCCATGGATTATTCGTGGGTGGGACAGACGGCAATTCGAACCGCAACGGGCGGGAGGCCGGCTACGATTCGTGTCCTCCCCCGCTGGCCGTTGCTCCTCCTCCTCCTCCTCCTCCCCACGGCGTCGGAGCCTCGGCCTGGGAGGCATTTGAGCGAGGAAGCAGGGGCAAGCAAGGCACCGGAAAACGGGGACGAAAGCGGGGGGCGGGGCGGACAGCTCGTTGGCCGAATTTTTTTTTTTTTTTTTAGACCTTTTTTAAAAATTTCACAAATATGCTCCGGACGTATGCTTTTAAAATCTGGATCCTCGGTGCCACACGTCTTGGCGTCATAGATTTTAACATCTAGGTTTTGGATTCGGCGCAGACGTGACGGTGATTTGACAGGCACCTTGGCGCTGTATATCTTGACACCGTAGATCTTAGAGTCGAGTTTGGCGCTGTGGTTATTGACGTCGAGAACGGCGCCAAGATCTATGGCACCGAAGTGGTGTTTTAACCCGGCGCTCAACCTTTCTGTCCGAGCCTTCTTCTTCTTCTTTCTCTCCCCCTCTCAGATTTTTTCTCTCCCCACTTCGTCTTACCTCACGAATCGGTATATTGGACCTTGAAAACTTTGATTTGATCCGTAGATCTTCGAGAGCAAAGTATCCTCGCTCCCTCCTAGTTTTTTTTTTAAATCGATTTGGTATATATTAGTCAGATTTTTTAACTTAAGAATCGTCATTACTTAGAGTTTCATGCAATTTTAATATTTATATTATGCAACCGTAGGATGTCAAGGTGTGGAAAAGCTATCAAACCAAGATAACATCAGCGCACGTTGTTATGATATGGGTTCATTGTTGTAGATCAAATGGGAAACCCTAGATGTAGAGTTTCATGTTAATTGCTTTCAGTTTTTAAAACGAAAATGACTAAATTATAGTTATGGCCGGATGATCGAAAATGTCTTCGATCCATTGTCTCTGCCTAGTGGTGTTCCAGTGCCCATGTGCTTTTACGGCGATCCTTGCAAGGTAGCCAAGTCCAATGAAGAGGACACGTATAAGCAGAGATATTGGATGTGTTCTAATTTTACGTTTGAGCCTACACTTCGTCAACGTCGGCATTAACAAGATGGTGAGGAATTGATGTTTGTGTCATATGACATCTTGCATGATTTTTTTGTTTTATAATAATTGTATTTTTTGTAGACCCCTCCACCGCTCTATGATTTTGAGCAGTGGACTGAGATTAAGCCTGAAGACATAGAATGGATGCAGTGGGAGGCAGAGGACAAGAAGATGATGGAGAAGAGACGCGAAGAGGAGGCTGCAAAAAAGATGCACAAGAAAGAGGAGAAAATGAGGCGTGTTCCTGCGTACAGGGAGAAGATGGAGAAGAAGCTTGAGCGTGCACGTCGAGCGAAAGCAACGATGGAGGAGAATCCCGATGCCCTGAGGAAGGAAAAGTGGTCTCGTTGCACTCAGTAGTTTTTATTACTTGTTAATTCTATGATTTATTCATGAACAATATTGTCTACTGTTGGACTTTTTATTGTGTTGTCATGTAATGCACTTTAAGTATAAGCATGTTTAGGTTATGTACTGTGTTATTTAGTTTGTCGACACGTACTTCTAATATTATTGTGTTGTTTAATGTATCGTAGTATTAGACTTTTTATTATATAGTTATTTTTGTTATTTATGGTCATAATATTCAGTTTAATATTACGAACGTAGTAAAATATAATCACGTACTGTAAATAAAACGTAATGAAGTAGGGCATTATATAATTCAACACATAAAACAAATAAAATGGCATGTGAGAATATGTACCGAACTAGGATACAAAGGTACTGAACTAAACCTAACATACCCTTAAGTAGGGATGAAAACGGATCGGATACGAACGGATATCACTCATATTATATTTGTTTTCATATTTCTGTTCGGATTCGGATTCGGACACGGATAGCGTTCGGATACATATACGAATACGGATTGACTCGGTTACGGATACGAATAATGAGTATCGAATACGGTATGAATCGGATTCGGAGAAGGTCGGATACAAATATCTATTCGGATATTGAGTAAAAGCAGTATATATATATATATATATATATATATATATATCATACGTGCGCAAACCATTACACCACTCTATGAGTCCATAATCCATCTAGATTAAGCCGAAAGACTAAAGAGTAAAGCAACAAATAAGATAAAGATACAGATACATCATACATCAAACATCATATAAGCACTAATCTTCGCGGCATGAGTAGAAATAGCCAAGCACATTGCTTCATGGGTCTCATGGAGTCATGGTCATGGATTCAAGATCTACAATCCTTATATAGGCCATTTTTTCATTTTGAGAAAGTTTGAACAAAATGTAGTTCAAATTTCACAAGTGTGTGACATAGTTTTAGAAAGTCTGTATGAGATTTAAGAATTTGTGACTAGTGTTTGATAAAACTTTCTCAAATGGGAAAATAAGCTATGTAACAATTGTATATCTTGCTGAGATGATCAAACTTGGTATTCAGAGTTTTTTCATCTGAGGTCATTTAGTGTCTCATTTGAGCAAGTTTGACCAAGTCAAATTTGGTCAAATGAAAAAACAACACTTTGACTCTAGTATTATGAACTCTAAATGACTTCAAATTGAAAAGTTTTGAATACCAAGTTTGTTCAACTCATCAAGATCTACAATTCTTGTTTTGGTCAACTTTCCATTTGAGATAGTTTGGACGGTTCAAATTTGTGATTTTTAAATTTCGATGCTTACAAACTAGTTTTCGGAACCCTAGATTGTCTCAAATTGAAAAGTTTTGAATACCAAGTTTGTTCAGCTCATCAAGATCTACAATCCTTATATAGGCTATTTTTTCATTTGAGAAAGTTTGAACAAAATGTAGTTCAAATTTCACAAGTGTGTGACATAGTTTCAGAAAGTCTATATGAGATTCAAGAATTTATGACTAGTGTTTGATAAAACTTTCTCAAATGGGAAAATGAGCTATGTAAAAATTGTAGATCTTGCTGAGATGATCAAACTTGGTATTCAGAGTTTTTTCATCTGAGGTCATTTAGTGTCTCATTTGAGCAAGTTTGACCAAGTCAAATTTGGTCAAATGAAAAAACAACACTTTGACTCTAGTATTATGAACTCTAAATGACTTCAAATTGAAAAGTTTTGAATACCAAGTTTGTTCAACTCATCAAGATCTACAATTCTTGTTTTGGTCAACTTTCCATTTGAGATAGTTTGGATGGTTCAAATTTGTGATTTTTAAATTTCGATGCTTACAAACTAGTTTTTCGGAACCCTAGATTGTCTCAAATTGAAAAGTTTTGAATACCAAGTTTGTTCAGCTCATCAAGATCTACAATCCTTATATAGGCTATTTTTTCATTTGAGAAAGTTTAAACAAAATGTAGTTCAAATTTCACAAGTGTGTGACATAGTTTCAGAAAGTCTATATGAGATTCAAAAATTTATGACTAGTGTTTGATAAAACTTTCTCAAATGGGAAAATGAGCTATGTAACAATTGTATATCTTGCTGAGATGATCAAACTTGGTATTCAGAGTTTTTTCATCTGAGGTCATTTAGTGTCTCATTTGAGCAAGTTTGACCAAGTCAAATTTGGTCAAATGAAAAAACAACACTTTGACTCTAGTATTATGAACTCTAAATGACTTCAAATTGAAAAGTTTTGAATACCAAGTTTGTTCAACTCATCAAGATCTACAATTCTTGTTTTGGTCAACTTTCCATTTGAGATAGTTTGGATGGTTCAAATTTGTGATTTTTAAATTTCGATGCGTACAAACTAGTTTTCGGAATCCTAGATTGTCTCAAATTGAAAAGTTTTGAATACCAAGTTTGTTCAGATCATCAAGATCTACAATCCTTATATAGGCTATTTTTTCATTTGAGAAAGTTTGAACAAAATGTAGTTCAAATTTCACAAGTGTGTGACATAGTTTCAGAAAGTCTATATGAGATTCAAGAATTTATGACTAGTGTTTGATAAAACTTTCTCAAATGGAAAAATGAGCTATGTAACAATTGTAGATCTTGCTGAGATGATCAAACTTGGTATTCAGAGTTTTTTCATCTGAGGTCATTTAGTGTCTCATTTGAGCAAGTTTGACCAAGTCAAATTTGGTCAAATGAAAAAACAACACTTTGACTCTAGTATTATGAACTCTAAATGACTTCAAATTGAAAAGTTTTGAATACCAAGTTTGTTCAACTCATCAAGATCTACAATTTTTGTTTTGGTCAACTTTCCATTTGAGATAGTTTGGACGGTTCAAATTTGTGATTTTTAAATTTCGACGTTTACAAACTAGTTTTCGGAACCCTAGATTGTCTCAAATTGAAAAGTTTTGAATACCAAATTTGTTCATCTCATCAAGATATACAATCCTTATATAGGCCATTTTTCATTTGAGAAAGTTTGAATAAAATATAGTTCAAATTTCACAAGTGTGTGACATAGTTTCAGAAAGTCTATATGAGATTCAAGAATTTATGACTAGTGTTTGATAAAACTTTCTCAAATGGGAAAATGAGCTATGTAACAATTGTATATCTTGCTGAGATGATCAAACTTGGTATTCAGAGTTTTTTCATCTGAGGTCATTTAGTGTCTCATTTGAGCAAGTTTGACCAAGTCAAATTTGGTCAAATGAAAAAACAACACTTTGACTCTAGTATTATGAACTCTAAATGACTTCAAATTGAAAAGTTTTGAATACCAAGTTTGTTCAACTCATCAAGATCTACAATTGTTGTTTTGGTCAACTTTCCATTTGAGATAGTTTGGATGGTTCAAATTTGTGATTTTTAAATTTTGAATAAATATCCGGATAATATCCGTTTTTAAATATCCGGATATATCCGATACTTATCCGGATTATCCGATATCCGCCGGATATCGATGATATTACATCCGTATTTGATATCCGCCTAAGATATCCGTTTTAGTATCCGTATCCGAAAAA